GTAGGGTTTATTATAAACTGTCCAATAAAAAAATTTACAACTGAAAGAAAAATGATAGGAGCCAGGTAATACCCAAGACCTTTGCTATATAAAGAGGTTTTAGTTTCTTGTCTTTAAAGTGATATCCAAGAAGGAAGCCTAGTAGGTAAAATCACTCTTTTCCTATATTTCACAGAAAAAATTGCAAATAAAAAATGATATAATCAGAACTTTAACAACATAAATAGAAATGAGTAAGCAAGTGCTTTAGTACCAATACTTCTGCCACATAAATATTTATACAAGTCATCAAGCTTATCGGGAAAAGCATCATGATTAGCTTCACATGGCAGATAGTGCTATAAAGATCCCCACAAAGTAAGGTGTACATCTACAAAAATGCTTACATGAAAGATTTTTAAAAACTTGGCTTAACTAAAAACACAAGAGCGATAGTGTGCCATATGATAAAGCCAATGGAATTAGCCAGATCTGGATTAAAACCTTTCAGGTGAGTGACCCAACACAAATTACTTTACCTAGCTAAACCTCAGTTTTTCTCATCATAAAAGGAGATAATAGGTATAAATTATTATCTCCAATGCCCTCAATAATGCTGGAGATAGCTAGCTATTCCTAGCACAGTGCCTGGGACATAGAAGGTGTTCAATAAATGGTTGTAGTGTTAATAATAATAGTTTTAAAATAGAAAACATCACAGGCATCATTGTATATGAGTTTGAGCTCAAGGTAGGATATATTCTTCATTACTGGAAAATGTTAGTTGCTTAGTAAGATTAATGACAATGTCTTCAACAGGCTTTCCTTCAATGAAATACATATAGTATTTGAAACAAACCAGTACATGTGGGGGAGCCCCCTCAACTTACTGTGTGATCCACTGTGTACAAACCAGCAGGCACCTAATGAGGAAGGAAACGGCATGTGTATATGCCAGCTAGCAACCAACAGAACACAAAGGCATGCATTTCTTTCCAGCAGAGGGTTAGTAAAACTGCTGTAGCAGCAGCCATCCACTAGGAATAAATGGCTACAGTCTAATATTAAGCGAAAGTCATTATACAGCTTTCAGATAGCACATTTTTGGACCTCAGTTCAAGTTGCATCTGTTGTTTAGTTTAGGTGAAATTGAAAGAATTTTAGCAATTAAAATAAACTTCATACCTGAGTAGCTTTGCAGCCTCTGTACAACAACAAAAGAATTCTCATGTCTTTGGAGCACCACGTATTTCCTTATATAGCACAGAGGAGGCACAAGCTCAATAGTATGAGCTTTACTGAATGCCATTTCATTCTCAGGTATGTTTTCTTCTATTAAATCGATTCAATAAGCCCCCGAGTACCATTTTCAGAAGAGAATATGTACAGCACGGCAGCTGAGCCTCACCACTTACTTTGTACAACCTCAGGCAAGCAACCAAAATCTCTCAGAGCCTCTGTTTTCTTAGTTATAAAACAGAGACACTACTCTTAATGTCAATCTTGAATATAAGGATTATACATTTTATATTCACAATACCATTAATATTGTTATACTACTTAATAAGTAGACATAACATCAGTAATATACTTAATGAGCACCCACAACGTGCCAGGTACTGCACTAACACTTAACATCTGACATAAAACTCAGCACAGAGTAGGCACTCAATAGGTAGTTATGAAGAATCATATCCTGTTTCAAGTACATGTTTCATGGTCTAGATAATATTACTACTCCAAGTAATAATTCATGCCCCATGTATCCCAAATGACTGTCAAGTGTTTATAATATAGTTCCTCTGATTTAGAGCACAAGGAGATGGTCCTCCCCACCAAACAGAACACCAGCTAAATAATTATACACATTTTTATATCCTAAGCTGAGTCAAGCTAACTATATTCATTATTCAACACTATTAATAATACACACACCAAACTGGTTTAATGACATACACGTACAATAGAAGAAACAACTATTGACGTGTGTTAGGCACTGTGCTGAAATGCCACATATATTATTTTTAATCTTTACACTAGCTCTGCAGGGTGTAAGGGTTTTTTTCTACAGCTGACAAAATGAAGTTAGAAGTTAAGTGATCAGCAAGGCCACACAGACAGTAAAAGTGGAGCTGCGGATGGAGCCCGGGTTTAGATTTGTCTGGTTCCAGAGCCATATACAAAAATGATCAGGCTGGATCTAGTTAACTTTGTTAACATAAGCATGTCTCTTATATTTGGATCCATGCAAATCATGCAACTGTACTTTTAAGGGAAGTTAAAAGGTAAACTATAATAACTTTAAAACAACTGCTTACCAACAGTTAAGTACTGTACTTTTCAAACAACAAATAATTCTGAAAATAAGTCATGAAAATGAGATCTCTTCACCAGCTACAAATACCAGACCAAGAGAGGCTATGTGGAGCTTGTCAACTTATCTAAATTCATTCCTCATATAACACATTGCTTTTTCCTGAACTGCAAAGCACAGTAATTAGGAGGAGGACCAACAGAAATCAAGGAAATAAGTAAATTAGTTATTTTTACTGCAACTTTATTAATAACAGGCAATATAGTGTAGCCAGTTTTAAGGCTGAATTCCAACTACTCCACTAGTTCTTGGCTATGTGACCTTGGGCAAGTTACTTAACCTTTCAGAGCCTCAATTTCCTCAATTGTAAAACCCTACTTTGCAGGGTAGTTGTGAGAATTAGGAATAATGTGTATAAATCTCTCATACTAGCTAACAGAGGGTAGACAGAAAAAATGTTAAGTCCAGGACTTACAGGGAGCCAGATGATTTAGAGTTCCTGGTGAGAACAACTTTAAAGAATAACTAAAAATGGCTTAGAGATGTTACAGATATTTTTAGGAAGTAGTGGATATTATAAAAATACCTCTAAGTTACAGAATGTTTATCCTTTTGAATTATTTATTCTCCCAAGATTCTGGTTCATACTACAAATGTTCTAGGAAATGTCAAAACACAAAAACAAAAAACCCAAAACCAAACAGTCAAATGGCACAAAGTAAGTCTCCACTCCAAACCAGGCCAAATCAATATTAATGAGTTTCCTCATACAATCCTCTTAGATGAGAGAAGAAAATAATGTATTCAGGGCATTCTACATTGATTTAAGTCTGGAAGTCAGAATTTCTCATTTCTCTCTCTAGCTATATGAGTCTCTGACTGAAAATTTAGGTAATACTATTGCCCCACACTTTGTCTTGAAAACTGCCAATTCTCACGTAATGTAAAATGTAAACAGGCATATGGGAAGTGAAAGCATTTAGAACTTTTCATTTCAGAGACCTGAAAACACTTGCCATAAGTTACATCCTAATTTCCCTGGACCTGTCCTCGCGGTTACTTTGTAGTTTGAGAGAGCAGAAAGGGCTAGCCACACGGTTAAGCCAACTGCATAGAGATGAAGGAAAAACAAGGAGACAAGCAACGTCAACAAAATCTCTTATAAATACAGGCAGTGGGGTGGGAAAAACTTATTACCAAACTATACAGGGGTAGGCAAAAGTAGGTTTACATAATACAAATAATTGATAAATAAATAATAATACAAGAATAAACACTGTTTCTTGCAGTCACAACTGTAAACCTCCTTTTGCCCACCCCTGCATACAGGAAGGGTGGAGGAGTCACCACGCGATCTAGAATGCTGAGTAAAGAGTTCGCAAGAAGCTGGAAAACAACTTGAGAAGTAGAACGGAACCACAAGAAAGGCAGCACCTGCGGAGGGGCAGGGAGTGGAAGCAGGGTCACTCCTCTCCCTAAGCTGTGACCCACCCCTTTCCACCTATGGGGCGGCCTCATTTCTTTACTCCACGAATCCCGTCTTCTGCAGTAAACCGTCAATTCTTTCAATGCACATCCTTCTGTTTCTTCTCTAAGCCATCCTAGTCCCTAATGGCAGTGCCAAGCACACAGTAATTCAACACAGATGGAAAGCCCTTCCGGTGCGTCTCACAACTCCTCGGGCTAACTTAATATATTTCATACCACAGTGGAATTGTCCAGTCTGACTCCCGGAAGAGGCAGGCTGGGGGCTCCGGCCCAGAGAGATGCTCAGTAAACTAGGTTTACGAAGTAACCTTTTGTGGGCTTGCGCATCTGCTTCTGCCCCCCGCCCCTATTCTTCCCGCTCCTCAAAGGTGAGGACTCGCGCTAATAATCAGCATCCTCCTCCCGCTTAGGATACTAGTCTCCCCTGACGCTCCGCAAGCTTCCTGAGGAAAGGGGTCGGATCTTTTTCATCCTTGTGTCCCCCAGCCCATTACAGGGTGGGTGCAGCACAAACTTCCGCTAATTTCAGCAGGAGCGGTGTGCGGGTGTGATTAAGATGGAAAACAAGCGCTACACAGGTGGGAGGCAGCGGCTGAATGATGGATTCAATCGCCAGGTTCCCAGAGCCCACAGAGATGAGGGAGAGAGGAGAGATAGGCGGCCAGGGAAGTGTTGCAGCCCGCTTCAGACGCGCCCTACCTTGGGGTAGGTGTGCAAGGGGTAGGTCAACTGACAGACCCGGTGGCAAGACGCCGTATCACCCAAGACCGAGTCAAACGCTTCGGCCGCAGCAGTCCCCAAGCCTCCGGCCAGGGCCATGGTCAGCAGCAGCAGCGGCGGGAGCCCCAGTTGGGCCCTGACCCAGAGGCTCCCTTTCGGCGCCGCCATTTTGTTCCCCTCTCTCACAGCAGCTGTTTGTTGCTGTTTTCTTTTCAGGGTCTCCTCCTCCTTCCGGGGCCAGACCCTTCTCCAGCCCGCGGGCCGCCACTTCCGCCTCCGCCGTCCCTCTCAGTTCCGCCCAGGCCGGAGCGAAACTGACGCCTCCGCCTCAGCTCCGGGTTGCAAACTTCTAGATTGGAGAGAAGAGGCGGAGCTAACCTACGCGAGTGCTGGAGCACGCCGGCCCCCTTGGCTCCTTTATTCCCTTTGACGGGCACGCTGGGACACGTAGTTCTCCACTGGCAGGAGGCGCACGGTGCGGTCGGGAAGAGTGGTCTGGAAGAACTACAGCCACCCCTGGCGCGACAGCAGCCCCTCCCTTCGCACTGCATTCTGGGGAATGTGGTTTGCTGTGCTCCTGAGGCTCCTCCGGACAACTACCGCCCAGGGAAGAAGCATTCGTTTAGTTTCATCAGGCTTGGAGGCCTCAGGAGGTGTTCTCTGGAGGGGCTTAGCTGCTGCCAGGGTTGCTTTTCCTGGTGCGTTTGTTGCTAGTTCCCCTTTCTGGGGTCCTGAGTGCTGAGGGAAGAGGAAGATGGTTTTTACTTTTGCTTGGGGATCCGGAAGACTGTAGTCGCGGGTAGGGTCCTCTGACCTCCAAGCAGTTCATGGAGATGGGTGCTTGTTGGGAGGACCCTGTGGAGATATGGTAGCGGTTGTTGATTGCTGGTTACTAAGGGAACCCTTGGGATTGCGGCTATGCTGGGGTGGTTGTTAAGAGAGCTTTGTTGGACCCAGTGGAACTTTAACTCTAACACAACCCAACTTAAGTTGGAAGAGGCTTGTCACTAGGATCGGTATTGGCCTAGGCCAGTTTGGGGTCCCCGCCACAGTATGCGCTTCTGAAAGCTGGGCCCTTCCTAACTGAAACCCATCATTGTACAAGTTTCAGTTCTTAGAAAGATGCTACCTTTTCCAAGAAACCATCCCGTAAATTCCAGCCAATAGTCTTCGTGGTTCAGGAATGCTTCCAGAATGTAGAGAACCCAATTGTGTCACTTTAGGGAACACACATCCCAGCAGTTTGGATGACGTTTTAGAATCTGCCCTCTTTCTTGAGCAGAACACACCGCAGGCTCGTGAAGGTAGTTGGAGTCCCCTAGAAATGGATAAATTCGTTATTCGAACGCCTAGGCCTCAGAGTAGTCCTCAGAAGAAAGATCCTGGAAGAAAGATTTACAAGCAGGCCACGATTGAATCTCTGAAGGTGAGAGGGGATCTGGGACTAAAGAAAACGTGCAACGGACTGTGATAGCAAGGTGGTGTGGAGAAGTTCTGTGGGAGACCTGTGAATTATTTTTGCTGTGCTTCCTCTCGGATGTGTTCCTGACCACTCCTAAGTTTCCCCCGTACCCTCTACTGACTTATTGATCAATTCCCATGTTTCTCTTACACTCTTTTCATTACTTTGGCGTTTTAGTATGTTTTGCCCCCTGTGTTATTCTTGTGCAAAATTTTGTCCATTAGGAATGTTAAAGTACTGAGTGATTCTATGTACCCTGTGTACGCTCGTAAGGCTGGGTGATGACTGTGTACTCTCCTATCTTGTTGGCCAGAACTGTATCACGTGACCTCCATAGCTACAGCTGAGAGTGGGAAAGAGGCTGTTGTAGTGGACCCTTTGCAGCCAGAGTGTTTTAGCAAGAAAGAATCAAGGAATAGACAGGATAGACAACCAAGAAAGTCCGTCAACATTGACACCCAATTAATGGTAAAGTAATTATTATTTTACTAAACAAAACAAAACCCTGCTTATGATTAGTTCCCTTTGTCTTCTTGAACCTCTCCTCCTCCGTATCTGACTGTCCTTTATTGGTTTCTCTTCCTCCACTAGACTTCTAATGTTTCCCAAGAGCTTTGTTATACATTTTATGTTTTTAGCCAGGGTGACCTCATTCATGTTGAGACTTCCCATGCTGATGACTACTTAACTTGGTCCTCCAGCCTAGATTTCTGAGGGTGAGAGTGGAATTTGAGGCTAGACAAAATGTGCAGAGAATTGTGATAGCAAGGTGGCATTCTGTGCACTTGACTTGTGTACTCAGGTGGACTCTTCTTCTAGATATGCCACAGGTGTACCAGCTCCAGGTAAGGAAGCAGTGCAGGGGAGTGGAAACAGCAGCCCCGGGTTCCAGTCCTTGCTGTGCAGCTGGGTGATCTTCAGCAAGTCATTTCCTTCTGCGGGATCTCAGTGTGTCCTCATTCCTAAAACGTAGGGTTGAACAATGTCACTGTTTTTTTTAAAGAGTACTGTTGTCATTTGGGGTAAAATAATTATTAATTGTTTGGAACTGTCCTGTGAGTTGTAGGAAGTTTAGCATCCCTAGCCCTCAGACACCTCCCGTGGTGCTAACCAAAAATATCCTCATTTCCAAGCAGCCCTTGGTTGGTTGCTTGAGACCTACTGAACTCCAGATCATCTTTAAAATCACTCCTTGTCTCACAGTTCTGTGACTTCATGGAACACATTCAAGTTGTCAACTGTCTCTGTTTTTTCAATACTCACGGATAATTGTATACAGCAGTGATTCTCAGTGACGGACAGTGGTGGGTGGGATTGTGGTATCAGACTGTCTGGAAGAAAAAGAGGAGGGTAATAATTAAACTATACGAACACTCACATATAAACACCCATATTCTACTTTACTTCTGCCTGTCCCTTCTCCCCTCTGTGTCTCTACTTTTGTGTCCTAGTTCAGAAACACTGTATGATTCCATAGGAAGATTATGGAATCAGAAGAAACAGTAGGCATACGGAATACCATTTCTATTAAATGCAATAGCTTTTCTTTCAAGCTTGTTCTTTATTCTCCTGTATTTACTTTGTGTCCATATATCCAGTAACTAGGACTAGAAACAGAAACAATCCTTAACTCTTTTCTCTCTTGTATGCAGTTTTTCAGCCCTGCTTCCTAAAAATCTTTCCTGTCCTTAACACCTCCCGCTATAAATTCAAAACTGTTAATAGTTCTTATGTGGAGCAGTACCATGGTCTCTTAACTTAGCATTCCCCGTCATTCTCCCCTCCACATGTTAGCCAGAGAAGTAAATCTTAAAAAAAATGAAAATCTACTCAAGTCATCTCCCTGCCTAATCCTTCAGTGGTTTCTCCTTACCTATCAATAAAGACATTTCTCTACGTGAGACCCAAGGCCCTCTATGACCTGGCACCTGCCTGCCTCATCCCCTGCTGGCTCTCCGTATGTACACTTCATCCAGTGTCAACCACTCACAATTTACCAAATACGTGCTCTTTCATACCTCTGTACCTTTGTATATGCTTTCCCGTTTGCTTAGAATGGATTTACTCCCTTGTCTTGGAAATGATATGGTATAGTTATTAAAAACACAGACTCTGAAGCCAAACTGTCTATGTTAAAATCCCACCTCTGCCATTACTGCTGGTGTGATGTTGGACAAGTTACTTATTTTGTGTCCCCTGTGCCTAGCACAGGGCTTAGCATATAGAGGTCTGCAACACATTTTTCTGAGTGACCAAATGAACTAAAACTCCAAAAGCCTTGGCATGGCGTGTGTTACCTTTTCTGCTCTGACCCCACGAGCCTGTTGTCTCATCCCTCGTAGCTTCCTATTCACAGGAATACTTTCCAGCCGCACCCCATTTCTTGCTGTTCTCTGTATAAGCTATTCTCTTTCATGCCTCCAGGGCTTTGAATATTGCTGGTCCCTTTTCCTGGAAAACCTTTCTCTTTCTTTTTACAGAGTGAATTCCTACTCCTTTGTCAACCCACACAAATGCAACTTTCCCTGTGAATTGTAGATTATAAATTTCATGAGTACAGGGACCTTGGTTATTTTATTTACCTCTGTATTCTTGGACCTATCACAGTGCTTGACACATACATAAATAGTCAGTAAATTTTTGTTAAGTGGCTATTGAAAGGCTTTCCAGGTCCTTCGGGGGAGTTCATTCTTCTCTCTTAGCACTGGGCTCAACTATCTGTTACAGCACTTACCTCACTGTATTATGTTTACCTGATTACCTGCAGTTCCCCAGTCTACTGTGAACTCCTGCAGACGGGGGCCTCAGTGTCGTACTTTGTTCTAATTCTGCTCCAGTACCTAACACAGTGCCTACTGCATTGTAAGTAGAAGTTTATTGAGTAAATAAGAATCATCTTTATTTGGAGGTACCCTTGCAGGATCTAGATATTAAACTATTCTATAAATATTATTTTTTTGAAGATTTTACTTATTTATTTTTAGAGAGGGGGAAGGGAGGGAGAAAGAGAGGGTGAGAAACATCAGTGTGAGAGAGGAACAGCATCCAGGCCCGGGCCAGAGCATGTGTACTCAGGCATGTGCTCTGACCTGGAATCAAACTGGTGACCTTCCATTTTGTGGAGCAATACCCATCCAACTGAGCCACGCCAGTCAGGGCTCTATAAATATTATTGTGAAATAATTTTATGTCCAGCCCTGTGCTAGGTACTCTAGGGAACATAAGAGAAATTCAAGGTCAAAGTATGAGCCCTCGTGAGATTTCCTGTTAGTGGATCATAGCATAAGAAATTCTTAAGTAATGATATAAAATCATAGTGATCCATGACAAATTTAGTTTTTGGGCAATGAGAGTTAAGAGAGAAGAGAGCTCAGCGTCTATTTTAGTGGTCAGAGCACCCTAAAGGAGATGGAAAGATTTGGCTAAGTAGAAGGAAGTAGTGGCAGATAACCATTCAATAAGTGGTACCTGCTGTCCTCTTTCTTTTATGCACACCTACCTGCTTACTTTCACGTGCACACAATGATAAATTACAACCAAGTTGAATTCAGTGTGAGTTCTGGAGAGTTAGTTAGCGCTACTCTCTGCCAGATGACTTACTCCCCACACCAGCATCACATTTTGATGCCAAAAAATGTGCTGAATGTTCAAGCCTCAATTTCCTCATCAGTGACATCAGAAGTAACAATATCTAACCTGCAGTGTTGTTATAAGGGCTAAATAAATAAATGCACGTTGAAAGGGCTAGGCATTGTGCCTGGAATGTAGTAAAAACCAAGTTTCCTTTTTTCATGTACAGAAAAGAGAGGCTTGTGCAGTAAAACTAAAACTGAGAACCCTGATGATGATGATGATAGTAGTAATGACTACTACTGACATTTACTGAACCCATTCCAATGGGCCAGGCATCGTGCTAAGTGCTTTCCATAAATTAACTCTAAATTCTAATAACAGCTCTGTGAAATGGATGCTTTTATCATTTATATTTTACAGTTGAAGAATCTAAGGCACAGAGAGAGTAAGTAGTTTGCTCAAAGTCATGCAGCTATAAATGGCAGAGCTGGGATTTGAACTAGATGATCTGATTCAACAGTCTGCCCCTTATACGATAAACTGTTTCTAAAAAGTGGAGTTTCTGAATGCCATGCAGAGGAAGTGTAAAAATCTTAGAATATTAGGACCATTGTACTTCTGTTATCAGTATAGTGCAAGTAATTTTGCCACAGCCTTATCACATTCAGTGAAAGTGATACTCAGTAGAGCTCATGCAGGGTGTATTTGAATGGTAAAGGTTACTTTGGTTAATCCCTTCTTATTCCCTTAAGGGAATGTGATTTCTTCTGTTGGTTGCAATAGGAGATTTTATTTTATTAAAGATTCTAGAATACACTAATTCTTTTAGGTTTAGCACTTAAGAATGCTCTGTAAACCTTTTCTTCCTTTGTGGGATTGACTAGCCAACATCTGTCTCCTGCCCCAACCAGTGGAATGGTGCCCATGTGATTGCTTATGAGAGAATCGTTGTCCCTAATTGGTTTTGTCAAACCTGATATTTCAGCCAGCCATAATTATAAAACCGGATGTGTTTGAATAACACCTCTTCTTTCTGGCAAAAACTGTTCCACTACTCATTGTAGCTGCCCCATTGGTATTTCATGTTCACTTCCCTTGTTCCTCTCCATAATTCTGATACAAACTTGAAATATCTGTTTGGGGCCCATATTTGGACAGAAATAAGGAAACATTCTTTGTGTGTATGGAATTCTGCTCTGAAACTGGCTGCTATATTTTTCTATTTCTGTCCTAAAATTTCAGATCTGAAAGCTATGCTGTACTTAGTCTTTGAGGGTAGAAATGGCTTTGTTCAATTACACGTACTGAGCACTGGGGATAGAGAGACAAATGAATTGTTCCAGCCCTCAAGTCGCTCACAGTCCAGTGGGGCAGACAGCCTTGTAGATAAGTATATGCAGAAAGCAGAGATACAGTAATAGAAGTCTGTACAGAATACCAAGGGACCCAACAAGGAGTATGGTCAAATGTGGTTGGAGAGAGGCAAGAATGGCTTCATAGAAGAGGTGATGCTTAAAGAGAATCTTAAAAAATAAATAGGCAAAGAAAGAACATCCGAGGCAGAGAGTGAAATACTGTGATTCGTTTAGGCAGCTTTAGACCCTTTGGTGTATCTGCAGCAAATGATGAAGCTGAAAGGATGTCAGAAGCCAAGTCACGTAAGGCCTTCTATGCTGTGCAGAAGAGCGTGGACTTCTGTAGTTCCATATGCTAGAATGAGCTGAGTGGAACCCTGAACCTCATTTTGACCATGTGGAAATGCTAAATAAAAAGTCTCCTAACATAGAGCTAAACTCGAAAGCAAGAACAAGAAATCCTTAGGTACAAGGAGAAAAGAGGAAATGTAAACCCAGAACTGCAAGTGGGAGCTGAAGTTGAATAGTTCTATTGAAACCAGATGTAATGCTTATGGGGCTGGGGTTTTAGGGCCAGTACGGGGATTGCAAATAAGTCCTCAGGCTAATAACCCCCATTTGAAGCTGAGAGCTAAAACAGGGCTAGCGTGCTTGAGAAAAATGAACTAGAGAAATTCCATTAGTCCAATGAAACAGCATAAAGATTGTGGACTTCCCAGGGTTTTGGATTAAAAAAAGAGTTCACTATAATGAAGTAGAACCCCACACTTATTACTGTGCATGGAGATATATATCTGTATATTTACATTTATATATCTCTGTGTATATATAGTTTAAATTCACATTATCTATAACCCTGAATATTCATTAGGAGAATAGGTTTTAAAGCTCTAAGACATTTGTATATAAAATACTATTAAAGTGGTTCATCTGGCTTTATATATATCAACGTGAATAAACGAAGAAAATATATTGAGTGAAAAAGCAAGTTGCAGAACGATATGATGTTTATACCTTCTTCCTATTGAAAATATCCCAGTGCACTAAAACCTGATTAGCATAGTATCACAATGGAAAGGAGGGCTTTTCCTGTCTTTCCCTCACCTGCTTTTCCGATCTTTGAACCTGGAAGAGTCAGAGATCAAAGTAAGGAAGCAGATGGGAGAGGAGGAGGAACAAAGACACGGAAGCAAGAGAGTCTCATGTCTCCTCCTCCTAGCACTACTGCTAGGCAGGAAGCAGACCCCAGCCCGGGAGGCAGTTGAGACTTTTTTGTTGCTGCTTTTTATTAAACTATCGCATGTAGAAAAGTGGACAGGCCATGAGTGTACATCTTGACAGATTTTCACAAAGTGAACATACCTGTGTCACCAATATCCACATGAAGAAGCAGAACATTGCCAGGATCCCAGAGCCCCCTACACCCCCTTCCATTCTCTAACTGGGTCCCCTCCCCAGGGTAATAACCATCTAGGTAAGAACTTTTTAATTATAAAAACAACGTTATTATTTTGTGCCTGTTTACTGTAGAAACTACAGAAAAGTTGCAACACAGAACAAAGAACTTTCCTATCCTTTCTCCCATATTCCTTAATTGTTAAAATTTTATACTAAATGGAAGTATGGTAGTTTTTCTAGGAACAAAAGGAGGGGAATGAGTTTGGTGAAGGATATAAGGAAATTGAAACTTTGTTATGTTTTATTTATAAAAAATGGCAAAACATTCACTTTTTTATTATAAATACTTAATTAGTCTACCTTTCTGTGTTTGAAGTTTTAAAAAATTCTTCAAACACGAGACAGTTTGAATTATATCATCTAGGAAGTGGGAACTGTTGAAGTGTGCTTTTATTGTTGAAATAAATATGTCTTTATGACTTTTCTGCTCTCTGTCCTTGTCTATGAATTAAAACACTTAAGTGAGCTATAGGGTTGATTCACCTCAGCATCGTTTTTCTTTTCTTCTTATCCTTATTGCTTCTCACTGCTAAGTGCCCAGTGGTGTCTGACATGGTAAGATTAAAACTTGCACTTTTCCTAATAGATGCAACTCTCTTCCTGATTTGCAGTAAGCAGGACCTGCTTTTAAGCAATTACCCATCATTTGGGGCTATCACACACACTGTGCTGTGGTTCAGGTCGTAATCAATAATTCACATGTCAATAGGAGCCCCATTAGCTCAGGTGAAGGCAGATGTCTTTCTAATGAAAATGTTCCATTTTCCAAATGACTGTTCTTTTTCCCAGAGAGTTGTGGTTGTAGAAGACATAAAAAGATGGAAAACTATGTTGGAGCTTCCTGATCAAACCAAAGAGAATCTAGTTGAAACCTTACAAGAATTAAAGAAGAAAATACCCTCCAGGGAAGTTTTAAAATCAACAAGGATAGGTATGTTCTTTCTGAATGTTATACAAAGTGTTATATTTTGTCTCCTTCCTTCCTTTCCTCCCTCACTCAACAGTTATGTGCTTTTCAAACTCTATGTGGTAAGAGACTATTGTTCTAAAAAGTTTCCATTGGTAGCACACTAGATTTTCATATTACAGGTCTGTACAGAAGATATCCAGCCATGTAATATGAAAAAGAGACATTTATTGAAGAAGATTGTTGATACAAAGAAACATTGTATATAGGACAATGATACCTCAGTCCTCTTTGAAGTAGGCACCTTGGGACCTCACACAGTTCTCCCAATCACCATCAAGCTGCCCTGTCATATTTTCCTGAATCTTATCAATGGTCTGAAATCTCTTCCTTTTCAAAGGTGATTTTGTTTTGGGGAAAAGTCAGAAGTCACAGGGCACCAAATCTGGGCTATAGGGTGGCCGAGTCACCTGGGAGATTTCATGTTTCACAGAAAAACTCTGCATGAGACATGATACATGAGCAGGCGTGTTGTCATGGTGCAGCTGCCAATCACCAGTTGCCATAGCTGCGGCCTTCTGAATCATCTAAATAATTTCCATGGAGGAATGTTCAAGCTTAATGCAAAATTTGATGTAGATTTGTTGCTCTACTTGCTCAGTCATTTTGAATGCGACAGCCACACAGTACACATGCTCACTCAGTGGTGTCTACTGCCCCCACTGACTAGTACAGTGAAGTCGTCATTATTCACACATGTGCATTTCAGTCCAATCTTCCTGGCTGCCAGGTTACAATGATGTCACGCAAAATGATCTCGTTATATAAACAATGGCTGGACTTTTTCTGGACAGACCTCATCATACACATTTTTTTAATTACCAGAAAAATAAAATACACAAAATACAAGCCCCCTTTTTAAAAATTGTATTCAACAGGTATAGAATTACTGTCAAATTGCTCTAAAAGTTTCTAAATACTTCAGTTTCTATGCTAACCTCATGAACTGGTAACTGGTAGGGATCTTTGGATAGGTAACATTTTGAGCGTGCTTGATCCTGGGTGTGCAAAAATAAGACATGGTTTGTGATCTCAAGGAACTTAGGGTTTGGTGGAAAAATAAGCACGTAGACAAATGTGAACATTAAGAAATTATAGGCTGGAAATAAAAAAATTAAAATGTCCTGAGTACCACTCTGATCTATGTAAGGTATATGCTGGCATAAAGAATGGAGTAATCACTTTTACCTGGAGAATTCAAGAAAGGCTTCATGGAAGAGGCGACATTTCAGTTAACTCTTGAAAGAGGCTTGGCTTTTCTGTCTTGAGTAGAAATAACTTGCAAAGTATGATAAATAAAAACAAAATGATAGCATCCCTTGCTGCTACATCATTTGTTATAGCATTGGAGATATTTAAAAGGTAAGTCAGGGACTGTGTTGAATTGCCATTTTAGTACAGTATACAACTGTGAATAACATTCAAGGAAGGGCCAACATGTGTTCTTCAAGCTGCTCCCAACTCCCTGGGGAGTCCAGGGTAGTCATTCACAGCTGCTGTTCTTGCCCTCACACTCGTTCAGCCATTGCCTTCTCTGCCTCCCCTTGACCTCTTGTTCATGAGAAGCAGAAGAGAGAGCAGCTTCATACTGGTGCTAACAGCTGGCAAGAGCTGTGTGAAATCCCCCAGAGACCCCCTTAGAGTCTTGAGAGTTGCACCCCTGTAATATAAACCAGAATCTGAGAAAATTAGATGCTTAAAGAACATAAAACCCTATCATTATAGCCAAGGAACTGCTCCCATCTGCTGGCGGATTTTCTCTTTATAGGTTGTGGTCACTAGAGGGCAATAAGACCATTCATATGAGCAGATAAGGCATTTCCACCAGTAGAGGGTACTAGTGATTAATATTTTATGACATGTATATATTTACATATATGTATGTATCTGTTCATATTTAGGCACACACCATAGTTACTATTTATGATCAGATCTTAAATATCAACACAATAGGCTAGAATTATTCTACAAATACAGACCATGATAATTTTTTAAAAATCATTTCTATTTGTTCTTTGAGTATGCTTTTAAGAATGGGTGTGTCTGATCAGCGATTTCAATTCAAGAATCATAATGAAACCACAGCAAGGTGGCTTGACTTGGGAGGAGCTGGAAACCATGTAACTTTTGTGTCTTGACCGTACCCCAAGCTTCCCTAAACCTCAGGTTGTACGGAGTAGAAGGGTTTCTTGATTTCTTTGTACTTAAGACAATTGCTAAGCTCAAGATTCATTTGTATCATTGCCTGAGCATGTTTACATTCTTCCACCTTTAGCCTCCTGCCTGTCCCTGTCCTGTGGGCTGTAACAGACAAATATTTACTGAGGGCCTTCTTTGTGCTAGGAACTGTGCCAGCATAATAATGGAGGCAGATATTTTGTACACCTCTTTGAAGCCTGCAGTCTAATGGAAGGACAGACAAGTTAACAAGACTTTATCGGACAATGTGATGAATGCTCTGATGATCGGGAGAAGTTAGCCTAAGGAGTATATGTTTTGGGAGTAGAGGAGGAGATGTTGAAGAATGTGTCAGGCAGGGGATATATTATGTGAGCTCTACACAGGGGTGGAGGTGGGAGAGAGCAGGATGCATTGCAGAAACTGAAAGAAGCTTGATGTGTTTGACTTCAAGCTGGGGAGACGGTCTGTATCAGAGAAGGTTCTTTGTAAGCCATTCAAAACTTTTTAGTCTTAGCATGTGTATTAGTTATCTATCCCTGTATAAAAATTACCCCCAAATTTAGCAGGTTGCCCTGGCTGGTGTAGCTCAGTGAATTGAGCATCAGCCTTCGAACTGAGAAGTCACCAGTTCGATTCCCGGTCAGGCCGCATGCCTGGGTTGCAGGATGGGTCCCCAGTTGGGGGCATGTGAAAGTCAACAGATTGAGGTTTCTCTTCCTCTTTCTCCCTCCCTTTCCCTCTTTCTAAAAATAAATAAACAACATCTTTTTTAAAAATTTAGCAGCTTAAGTATTTTTATCTCACATAGTTTTTCTGAAAGTCAGGAATCTGAGAGCTGCTTATCTGGTGGTTCTGGCTCATAGTCTCTTAGAGGTTCAGTCAGGCTGTTGGCTGTGGCTATAGTCATCTGAACATTTGACCAGGGCTTAAGGATCGACTCGAAATGGCTCACTCCCAGGATGGCTGGTAGGAGGCCTTAGTTCTACAACACTCAGGCCTCTCCTTAAGGCAGCTCATGACATGGCAGCTGACGTTCTCCCGAACAGGTGATCCAGGAGAGGACAACCAATATGGAAGCTACAGTGTCTTTTATAACCTAACCTCAGAAGTGACATACCATTGCGTCTGTCATACTCGGTTGGGCACACAGACCACCCCTGGTACGATTTGGGGGCAACTACACACATGTTATGAATACCGAGGGTTGAGGATCATTGGGGGGTGTCTTGTAGAATGGTTCCCACAATATAGATTTCTTTTTATTTAACCAAGATTTATTATACTTCTTGGACGTGCAGGTTTATGCACATTTGTAGAAATTTTATAGCCATTAACCCTTCAAAAGTACCTCTCTTTCATTTTATTTCTTTGTTCTGGGATTCTACAATTAGAAGTATGTTCGACCTTTTCTTTTTCATATCCCTTAGCTTGTTTGTCATATATTTTTTTTATCTTCTTGTCTCTTGTAATGTCCTGGGCAGTTTCTTCGGATACAGATCTTCCAAATCACTAATTCTCTTTTTAGCTGACTCTAATTTGCTATTTAATCTGTACATTGAATTCTTTATCAAAAATTATTTTTCATTTTTATAAGCTTCATTTCTCCCTAAATCTGCCTCATCTAAATATTATTTGTATATTCTTATGATTGTGCCTTTTATTTCTTTAAACATTTAATGTGTAGTTCTTCTGTATTTCTCATCTGACTGTTCTCATATGTGTAGTCCTTGGTGGTTTAAATCTATTGTTTATTGTTTCTGCTGACTAATGGTGCTTGCCTTCTCATGTGTTTGTTGATTTTTAATTATGAGACATTATTTTCTTTCAATCTATGGGAACTGCGTGGGACTAAATTGGAGACACTTCCCTCTAGAGGGGATTAGCTTCTTTTCTTTTTTTGTTTCTAGCAATAGTGAAGGGTCACTTCTGACCTGGAATACTTGAGCACACTTCTCAGGGATCCCAGGTCAGTATGAGAGTCCCAGGATTAGCTCTCCCTCTTCACCACTGACCCGAACGTAAGTATTTCAGCAGTGTGGCTATTCACATCAGCCCTTAGTTTAACCCTACCCCTCTCTGAGCCTAACCCTTTAGCTTCTGCTTGCTTACTTACTTACTTACTTTATTTATTTATTTATAGAGAGAGGGGAAGGGAGGGAGAAAGGGAGAGAAACATCAATGTGTGATTGCCTCTTGCACACCCCCAAGACCTGGTCTGCAACCCAGGCATGTGCCCTGACTGGGAATCGAACCAGCAACCCTTTAGTTCACAGGCTGGCACTCAATCCACTAAGCCATGCCAGCCAGGGCTCTGCTTATATTTTTGAAAGAGGGAATGAGGTGTTTTTTTTGTTTGTTTGTTTGTTTTAATCTAGAATCTAGTTTTACTGCAGTGAAAGGGTAGCTTTAGTCCATGATAAACCCTGAGACCCTAAAGGTAGTCGATGTAATTATTGACTGGAATTTGACTGGATTTTGAATGGAGGAGTGACATATACACATTAGCATTTTAGAAAAACATCATCTGGCTGCCATGTGGGGAGCGTATTGGAGAAAAGCAAACCTAGAAGGAGAAAGCCCAGTGAGGAGGCTACTAAAACATCTGGTTGAGAAATGTGGGTAGCCTGGATGGGGCAGTAGTCATGGGGATGGAGAAGTATAGTTGGAACCAAGAGACATAAATGGAGTAAAATCCCAAAGAACCCGGAGAGAGATTGGATGTTGGGAGTGAAGGCTGAAGCCTGGATTTCTGTTATGGCCAAATAGGTGTATAGGAATTCCAC